TAAATCCGCTTCAGAGGTCTTTATTAAATATTTTTAAATTAAGTTTTAAATAATATTTAAAAGGCACGATTTTCACTTTTGGTTCATTTTCCTTCATTTCTATGTTTTTCAAATTTAATTAAATTAACTTAATTAACACTAAAATACTTCATTTAATAAATATAATCTCTTCATAGACTCGCAAATTTATTGCTATGACTAAATGAAAACATTTTCAAAGCAACACCCTTTAAATCATCCAATAAATCTTTTCAAGCATTCAAGACAGATTCCAAGTGTAACTTTAAAGTACAGATTGTGATAGATAAAAATATTTAAGTAGAAATAAGGTTAATTAAGTCATTAACCTTAAAATGGCGCACATAGTTTTATTATTTAATAAAAAAAAGTAATTATAAAAATAAAATCGAAAAAAAAAGGTAACAATTAAAATTCGTAAAATTCTACAGCCGTGCTTAATAAAGACTTTTCTAAATAAGAAAAAAATTAATTTAATAAGTTAGACAATTGAGCCAAGTGGCTAAGCTTATAGCCCTTAATAGTAGTAGACTTAGCACTTTAAACTGGCGCTCCCCACATTTCGCATTTACAATTCAAAGTGTGAAGTTTGCGTAAAAGTGCAAAAAAGATGCGTTGAAATATAAAAAGAGAAAAAAAACTAGAAAATTCTTAGAAATTTCCACGCCATCGTAGAGCATAAAATGTGTGTTCTGCGAGCTGAAGAAATGTCCAAAGGTTGGCACAAGCACAGCATATGAAACGGTAACTTATCTAAAACGGTCGGCGTAGGTCCAAGTCCAAGTGTTAGCCGCAGTGAAGTAGCCAAATGATGAAGTAGTAAAGTGAAGAAGTAGTGAAGTAATTTTATTGCTTTAAATAGCACGTCAATGCTGTGAAGTGGCAGCAAAAATAACGCAAAAATAAAGCAAAATTTAAATAAAATTATTGGTCAATTGAAGTTGCAATAAAGCGTGAAGGCACAACAAATTGCCGACATAAATAAACTCACGTGCTTCACATAATTAAACAACATTAAGTATTTATGCTCATTTCTTATGAATTTTTATAAGACAATATTTTTTTTTATTGACAATAATTTTATGATTTCTACCTAAAGTGATTTTTCTTAAATTCTTAATTTTGTCAATATTTTTTTTTTTTTTGTGTTGTCAACAAGTACAGAATTTTAATTTTTGTGTGTTGCCACTTGCAACAAATGTTGTTTATTTGTTGTTTACTTGTTGTTTTACGATTGTTTATGGGTTGTTGCTTACACGTCTATTGGTGTTGTTTACCCATATTTACTTACATTCATACAAACACGTACACGTAGCTCTGAATTATTATTTTTGTTGGACTGTTGGGCTGTTTGCTTCGTTGACTTGGTGAAATGCTCGAAATTAAAACGCGATTTAATATTTTTCACTTTTTCTGCATTCGTGGTTCTTGGTTCTTGTGACGACCCCACAAAAATGAAGAAATTATATTTGCTATCTATTAACTTTATTCACATTTTCATATTTAAATATTGTCAAGTCACTTATGTCGTCTGAGTCCGTATGATTTGTGACCCATGTAAAACTAAAGCTACTGCAAAAGGTAGGTAGCTATATAGTATATATATTGTGTTTTTGATGTCAATTTGATAGGAGAGCAATTATTTCGAATGAATTAGTATTTAAGTTAAATGTTACTTTGAGTAATTATTAAGCATAACAAATGTTTTCATTTGTGGTGGGGAAGAGTAATTTTTAATCACTCTTTTGACAAAATTTTTTTAGGGAATTTTTAAGAAGTTTTATATGACAACAGAAAAACTTATGCAAAAAATAATATATCTACCAAAGAATAATATTGAAATTTAACAATTAAAAATAAAAATATAATTAGTTAAATAAATTATTCTACAGCTGGTTTATGATTTCATTCTAATAAAAACAAATCAACTGAATTTTTTAATAAGACTTTCACAGCAAATTAGCAAAATTCCAGAAAAATGTGCGAACATAAAAGTTAAATACGGCTTTGGATCAATTGATTAAGAAGCACTGATTCTGAGCTTCAAATTTGGCAGGACACGAGTTCGATTCCTAGTACTTACAGTGTAAAAAAATTGTTTACAAATGATTATATATAAGAAATAATTCCAACACCACCTATGTTGAGTATTTGGTAATACTCGAAACAGCCAAAAATTCAAATAATTAAAATAATATAAAAATAATTTTTGTTGTTGTAGCTCACTACTGTTACAAACTTCTCCACAAAAGAAAAACGTTATAAAAAATTGTTTAAAAAAATACACTCTCAGGTACAAGATTACATATATCTAAACATAAATAAAAATACGATAAACATTAAAATATATGTGTTAACGAACGTCTTCTATAACATATGTAAGGATCCAGAACAGACTTATACATTAATTTTTATATTTTATATCCTTACATAGCACTCATTTTTACGTTACATACTTTCAATTTATAACTATGTTCAGTTCTATAGAATGTTTATACTATAATAATAATATTATTATAAGTTAATGATTTAATTAATTTAAATTTATAAAAAGTAGGAATAAGTTTAAATTTTGTATTAATATATTTATACCACATAAACACTCGTAAAGCGTCTTTATACGTTTTCAAGTAGAAACCATGTGAGAATTATACGTTTTTAACATAGATTGTATATGGGGATATTTTGAATTTATAATTCTCATGGGATGTCTAGTTACGGTCAATCAAAAGCCTCCCAATTCCTTGTACACATTTGATTTTAATGGTGAGATATGTTAATAATCCATAATTTTTTTACGAATATTTGAGTATGAGGTATAATAGTCTATCATATCCTCTAACAGATGTGGGCATTATAGAGCTTTATATTATTTTTTTTAACGAGCACTCAAAAGCAACAAAAGCCCAAGGCAGTGCGGGACTTTAACCCACTAAAAATAATTCCGTTCGCTCATGTCCGAACGGAAAGTCCTTTCTGGAACTACTTTAAAGCATTACATCAGAAGTAGGTATTATGGAGTATTATATCCGATCTGTTAAAGAGTGCTATGAGTTCGGTAAGTACAGTGAGTAGTGTGTTATATCAACAACTTCACATTTATTTTACTTTCGAGTACTAACAAGAACTAAGAGTTAAAAAATCGAGTTTTTGCTACCATAAAAATAACATCCTAAGTAGTTATTATTTTATTTTATTACATTTTTATATTATTTTATTTTAATTATATTTTGTAGTTTTTTTATATGTGTAAATATATTTTTTTTGAGCGCTGTAATCATTTCGCACCTAATGCCTGTAAAAAGAAAAAGTAGGTTTTATCTAAATAATCTTCATACTAATATTGTTATGGAATTACGGAATCTTTATACTACAAGACATCAAAAAGAACATAAAACATCAACTTTAGTTGTATATAAAAATGCAAATAATATTTTCTTCCTAACGGCAACTTAAAACGAGTTACTCTACTCAAATGAAGAAATAAATTAACTATTAAAGACTTTTTATGTTTAACAACAAAAACCGTAAATTAATTTTTATATAAAAGTGACTACATTATATTTTATTAGTTTTAAATATGGTTGAATTAGTAAACAAATCTAATTAAAGTAAGTGTTTAAGAAATACTTAAATCAATCGACCAATATATCAGTAAATCGATCGACACAGATAGGAATTATGAGAGATGCATGCAAACTTTGAGAGGAAAAAAATTTGTATATTAAATATAAATTGTATAGAAGCACATACATAAATTATACAAATATTTATATACCAATTAAAAGACCATAAATAAATTATGGCATTAACTTAACTCTAAAGAAGATAAAATTTAATTCCAATTTAAAGTCTTCAAATCATTCTTCGATAACACTTCAAAAATCTAGACCTGAAAGTATGCTACTAAAATGATCACATACTCGCTTATTGGCAATGCTAGTGATTCGCTAAGGTTTAAATGAGCACTGACTGACTGCATGTCTACCTATCCGAGCATATTAGTGCAGTTATAGACGTAACGACATTTTTTACTGTGATTCGACTGTTTCCCGCATAGGACTTCGACTTGGAAGACAGAGCAAAAAACAGAAAATCTAAAATATAAATTTACACAAAATTGTTTGATTATATTTTGAACAATCCGTATAGAAGTTAATAGCTTCAAAATATTCTTTCTTTTTTGAATTCTTGCAAAATCTACTGGTCATACATATTTAATGCGTAAGAAAAATTGAAATTCTTGTGCCGTTTATAATCAATATATATTTAAGTCATATGTAGAGGTTAGTGAAGGTTAGTGAAGGCCATAAAGTCAACTGAACTGAAGAATATATATTCCTCTCTTTACGGCTAGACAGCGGCGTTGAATACTTTGCCGTATGCTATAGTCGTTACTGGTATACTATGCAGTGATTTTCCGTGTTTACTACAGAGTTATCGTCTGTTACTGCAACTTGGCATTATTATGTTTATGTTTTTTTCTTCACTTCTTATCAGCTTAACGTTTTAGGGGTCTTTTCACCCCTAAAACAACGCTAAGGGCTAATAAAGCCTTTATCTAATTCTATATTGGGCTAATAAAGTTGAACTCTTAAACATTTTTTAATAAAATATTAAACAGCAAACTACCCCATTACCAACTAAAATCGTGGCGGGGTAATGAGGACGAAAACTTACTAATATTGTAACTAAGAACCCCATAAAGCTAGATACCTGAGGTAGAGAATTTTGCTACCATTCTAGAATTCTAGAGTAAGTAACAACTCAATTCTATGAGTTGCTAACCGCCACATACTTTTATAGTTGCTTCTTTCATAAATATATCTGTGTATTTATATCATATATTTATATTATATTATATATTTTTATTATTTATAGTAATATATTATATTGATAGTAATATTTATCATTATTTAAAAATTGTATAAATCAACTTTCTGTATACTTCAATAATTTAACAGTCTTTTTTAATGGCTTACCTTGCAAGTTTGGAAAAAAGCGCCAATACTTGTCTTTGGATAGTGCTCTGCAGCAGCATTTTTTAGAGATTTATGTTGCTGTTGCTGCTGCTGTTGCTGTTGTTGTTGATGTTGTGTACTGGATAATGGCGCATGTGGTGGCGCCGTCTTAATAGCCACCGTATCCATTTGTGAGAATTATTAACAAACAAATCGAGAACTTTTTAATTTTTTTTTATTTATTTTATTTTTTATATTATTTTTATTTTTAATGTGTAGAATTTATTTTCTAGCACAATAAAGCGGTATTATTATTTGCTCATTAAATGCTTCAGTGGACACATGGCGTGCCTGGTGCATTGTATTAGCGCGTTTTCAAATACAAAAAAAAAAGCAGAAGTAACACAAAAAAAATGCAGAAGAAGACACCCTCTTTAATGTTCTGCGCGATTGATAAGGGTTAACATTTGTGAAACAAGTGTTTCAAAAATTTTTTTTATTTTTGTACTGGAAATTTTTGCAAACAAAGATATAAATTTACGACAGTTGTTTTAAATGCTTTTTGGCAATCAATTTTTTTTTTAGCATTTAGTTTACTTAAGACAATACACCTGTTCTTGAGAAAGGGTTAAAATTAATCGAAGACGTCATAAGTTTTTTTTATTATGGTATATATAGTATATTTGCTCAGTTTTAGTTTAAAATAAAACTTTTATATATGACTTTAATTTTTTTTTTATTTATGTATGCAATAGTGCTATATTTTGTCACTAATTTTATTATAAAAATTTTTTTTATGTACCCATTTATGTGATATGTGGTTTTTTTATTTTTATTTATTTATTAAACATTCAAAGTTTATGTATGGAATAGTGCTATATTTTGTCACTAATTTTATTATTAATTTTTGTTATATATATACTCAAGAACTATTTTATAATTTATAGGATAAGTGGTTTCAACAATATATTTTATTGTTCCTATTAAAATTATTAACCATTAAAATTAATATATGAATTTTAATTTATTTTCTTCTTTCGGTGTTATGATCGCAGGTCTATCTTTACACATACATACACACGTATCTATATGTCACTACTTTAGTATTTTCTCACATAAAATGCTTAGATTGTAGTTTCTTTAGTTAAAATTTTAGCTTCGCTATGCTAAAAGCTTCTATTTTGAATTTTTATTTTATTTTAATTTATATTAAATTACATATTTTGTTTTTGTGTTTTTATTTTTGCTTTTGCTTTTGTCTTCACACAAAAAGCCAAGTTCACAATTTACTGTTCAATTAATAATTTTTATAACAAAAAAAAAACAGTTATACTTTAGTCGCTTACTAAGCTTACTAAGCCGTCAACTAAATGTCGCGCTTTGATTTTTTTCTTCAAAATTTGACGTCACCACTTTTTGTTGAGAGACATTCAAATCACTTCGTAAGCACTTTTGATCTTTAGCAACAAAAACGCGTCAATACTAATTGTTGCTGGAGTTTAACTCAATGCAATTGCAATGTTGCTAAAAATGCTAGACAATTAAACTTCTTCTTCTTGATTTTACTGTTAATTGTTTTATCACTTTTTATATGCACAATTTTTGTTTTTGTTTTATTTTTCTATTTTCACACCAACAAAAGTAAGGAATAATTTTTGTATGGATGATTTCTTGCGCCAAAACGTCTTCAATTGTTAAGAGCGAATTCACAACTAAACTGAAGCGTGCACAGGTAAGAATCTCCCAAAAGCAACAAAAAAATTTATATACAAGCCAAGCATGTGCGTTGTATACAAACAATGCCAAGTAAGCAATGTGGCTTGAAAGAGTAGAGAGCGAGAGCAGTTAGTGCTTCGCTATAAAATGTTATATTACCTGTTGTTTAAGCCAGAAAAAAACCCAGCACAAGTACATGTGTGAGGGAAATTAAGAGCGCATAATTTACACTAAGAAATACACTCTTTTCATATGCATTGTTTAGTCATCTCTTATGCTGGTTGTTCATGCACTGTACTAGGGAAATATTAAGTTGACTTATAAACGGAAAATTATGTTGCATACTCTGTGGCGTTGTTTAATTGTTGTAACAGAAATAACTAAAGTATCAACTATAAAGCGAAATTTCCTATAATTTTAAAATTGTTATGTTAAACTGTTAAGGCATGGCAGGCTTAAAATAAAATGAATAAATAAATAAAATATATAAAGTAATTACACAAAATAAATAAAAAATAAAAGATGTAAGATAAATAAAATAAATAAATGAAGTAAAGTAAATCGAATAAATAAAATAAATAAAATAAATAAAATAAATAAAATAAATAAAATAAAAATATCAATATAAATAAATGAAATAAAATAAATAAATAAACACACATACTTTAATATTTTTGACATAACATTTCTGTTGTTTTTCTTCAAAATCACGAACTGCTGTTAATGTAAGCCAGTGTTTATGTTAAAGGAAATCTTTAAATTGAGAGCTACTGTTAAGGCAAACTAATGTTAATGTTAGCGAAAACCTTAAAATATGCAATGTTATTGAATTTCCAAAGAGTTTGTGACTTAAATCTTTTAGGTTAATTATTTCGAAGAGACGATCAGGACAGGATATTTTATTTAAATTTTATTTTTTATGATAAAAAAAATATTATATTCCAGTGATTTAAGAGATTATTGTGGAGAAACTTAATGTGTAAACTTGTTATTCTGTCAGTCAGTCTACTCATATGATTCATGATTTTGTAGCAAATGAACCAAATAATAGTAGTAAATTAATAGAAATAGTACAATAGTAAAAATTAGATAGTAAAAATAAATTTATAAGTATATAAATCATAAATAAAATCAATAAAATAATGTTACTTTAAAATATAATCAAATACTGTATAATATAAATGTAATATAATAGAATATAAAAATAAAATAAGAAAATGAAATTTAATATTCCCCTTTAATATTTCTCATTTTAATGTTACAAAATGTTTATGTTCGCTTATATAGTATATGGGCCATGGATAAATTGAATGATATTCCTTTAAAATATGTAATAATAGATAATTATATTGTTGCATTTAAATATGCCAATGCTTTTGGTAACAAATAAATTAAGCATTAAATTGAGTTCGGGCACAATGTGCTACTGACTGAGTGCCTTGTTTATTATACTGTCCTACTCTTAAGAAAATAAAGAAATAAATAAATTAGTCCAACAAATTATATACGGACTATAAACTAATTAAATAAAATTCGATTATTTCCAAAGACCACTGATGAAGAGTACTTGGCAATACTCGAAACAGCGTTGTATGGTCAGCCAAATTTCAATAAATTAAATAAAAAATTTTTGTTTTGCCTTTCTTTGCTATTCGAATCGGTCTAACTTTTAAATAGTTTCTTTCGTCATAAAAAGACACGCCATTATCGGCAAAAAAAAGAAAAAAAATTTACCTTAAAAATTAGAATTATAGGAAATATGAACAATAATATTGTTCAGCTTTTCCTTAACGCGATTAGCGAACTTGTAGAGAAACATTTGCATAGCTTCTTTGTAAAATTGCACCCAAAAAAGGCGCTTTACATATAGTAAGTTAAAAAAATATGCATATCAGATGTCTCTACAAAAAGAATAGCTTTGAAACAAAAATAGGCAAGCTCAAAGATTAACTTTCAAATTGTTGAACTTGTGTTTCCAAATAAAGCTGTAGTTTATAAGCTCGTTCTAATTTAAAGCACGGCAAGTGCTTTGGTTGGTGTCACTAATTAAATAAAAATAAGTGTCAATAAAACCTGGAACTTGAGCATTGAATGTTTGTGCAGCCTTGGCTTCTTGTGGATAAAGACGATAAAATAAAAAAAAGAAATTTAATATTCCCGTTTAATATTTCTCATTTTAATGTTACAAAATGTTTATGTTCGCTTATATAGTATATGGGCCATGGATAAATTGAATGATATTCCTTTAAAATATGTAATAATAGAAAATTATATTGATGCATTTAAATATGCCAATGCTTTTGGTAACAAATAAATTAAGCATTAAATTGAGTTCGGGCACAATGTGCTACTGACTGAGTGCCTTGTTTATTATACTGTCCTACTCTTAACAAAATAAAGAAATAAATAAATTATTATTTTGCAATTAATTAAGATATTACTTAATTATTTTTTTATTTATTGTGGTTTTTTTATTTACCTATATAAAAAAATTCATACAAAATATATTAATATGGATTTTAATAAAAATAATAATCAATAATCAAAATCAATAACTTGAAAATTGATCAAGTTAAGTTTTAGTATTAAATAATTCATTGAATTAAATTGAATATAAAATTTAAAAATAATTAATTATTATAAAAATTAATATTAAATTTAATATTAATTAATTAATATTATAATGAATAAATTTTTTTATATTAAATATTTATTTTATTATTGTTTGATTGATTTAAATTTATTTAAAAAAATTTCTCTAATATTAATAGTTAATTATTAATATTTATTTATTCATTTCAAATTCATAAGTATCTTATATGAAGCAGTACATATAATAATTTTCATCAAAATCCAATTAAAAAATTTCCTTTGAAAAAATCTTATCAAAATCAACTCTTAAGTTTTTAACAGAAATTTTTAAAAAATTTCCCGCTCTAAGCAAAACAAAAACAACGCGAATCAAACACAATAAACACAATGAAAAGAAAAAACAATCAATGCCAGTTTGTTGGCTCAAAAAATTATATATAGAAAATAATGACAATATCACAGGCTTAAAGAGGTTAAAAACCAGAAATCTTATCTTAACAAAGAAAATAACAAAAACAACACAAACAACAACGACGCACGGCATAAAGTAAATTGAACGGACAACGGAGTTTGCTTACCAACAAACCAAGAAACGCAAACCAAGAAGTCAGCGCGCTAAACAAAATGGCGACTATCGTTTGTTAAAACTTTTATATTTTTATGTTGTTTATATATGAAAGGCTTAAAGAGAGGATGAAGAAAATCAACAACAACAACAAAAACAACAAAAGTAACAAACAATAACAAAAATTAAACAAACACGTTTTTTGCGCGCCTCGAGTCTGCAGTCGTTGGTACTCGAAATATAAAATTACAAGACACACAAATAGACAGACAGCAACTTCGACTGTTTCGTTCGGTCGATCATTCGTTCGGTCGTTCGTTCGTTCGGTCGTTCGTGCGTTCGTTTGTCGTGTGATTGTTTTTGTGTTTGTTTGGGTTCGTTTTATTGTGCAAGCAAGCGGTGTCAAAGAAGCAAAGAGGCAAAGAATAGTTTGTAGTAAAATGTGTAGTAAACAACGTAAATATTTGTATGGAGTTGTACCTACATTAATGTATGTGTGTTTGTGGTAAAATGTATGGTAAACGGAGTTAGTGTTTGTATGGAGTTGTGTATGAAATATACGAACGTATGTGTGTATATTTCGTTACGTTTAAATGCAAGAAGGAAGCAACGAGTACAATTGCGAATACGAGTACGAGTACTAAAAATTGTAGAAATTGTGGTGAAG